TCAGAATTCCAACTGCAAATTACTAAAATTATAAAAATTCAACATAAACTCAGACACTAACATTCAGTGTGCTTTGTATAACTAATTATTACAAAAGTTATTTGAGATGATTTTGAATAAAAAAATCATTCCTTCATGTTCATATCCATACCCACCTTAGTCCTCCATATTTTCTACCTATAACTTCACAATGGAATCTTATTTTAAACTTTTGAAGTTAAGACACATTTCTGAGCAATAAACACACAACAAGGACTGAAAGAGAAAGCATTATTGATGGATTATTTTATCTGAATATCCAAGGGAACAATCATTTCCCCTCACATTCAAATATATTCTGTTTTTTTCAATGAAAACTAACAGAGTAAGAACAGTATCTTAAATAAGGATGAGGAAAGCATCTGATATGACAGATATTAAAGTATCCTTTGAAAACTCATCTGTGTTAACAAACACAAAGAGTCATTTTTGTCTCTATCTTGAATATATTCTGCCTTAGTTTCCTAACCACTCAAACATGAAAGCAGTTATCTCCAGGACAAAGTTGTTTTGAAAACTGCAACACAAGTAATTTCGTTTACTTTCCAAAACAGCAGTGAGATCTCACATATACAGAATGCGACACTTTGTAGGACTTCAATGTTTCTGAATTTCATCTTACTTTCTATTGTTTACTTAATGACCAATTTGTTTTGATATGATGAAGGATATGAATCTGTTGAGATCTCATTGCAGAGCGTGATGGGCAGCTATCACTGTATTCTAATACAGCAGACAGCTGGTCATACAGTGTCTTGAGGTGCATTTATACACTTACATAAATACTTCTGTTACAGATTTCACCACTGTAAAATCCCCAGCTGTGGGCAGTGTATAGGTATGTATGTGCACTTACGGATTCACTTACATCCACTCTCCCTCACTTACTAGAATGAGAGCTATACTCCTATGCTATTCTTATTTATGCTATGGTGGAAAAAGAAAAATAGATAAAAGATATAACTTCTACATTGACAAGTCCTATACATGAGTAACTCTAAGGAGGTTGGGTTTTTTTGTTGTGCTTGTCAAACATTTTGTAAGCCAATAAAAATCGATTATATCCAAACTCGTTGAGTTTTTTTGTTTTGGTTTGGTTTTGGAGGGGTTAATTTTCTATTGAGAAAAAGCCAGTCTCTGAGAAACAAGTTCATGGAGAAGACAAAGAAGGTGTTGCTTCCCTGCAGCTCTGCCAGCACAGGTAATGGCACCGTGAGGAATACAGATCTGGTCCAAGTTCCTCAGGCTTTGATTCAGCATGTGAACCACAAATTGCAGTCTGGATCCTGGACTCTGACAGAACAGTATCCTCAGAAACAGTGTGAAATACAGCAGAAGCCACAAAAAAGAGCTCTGAAAGCTAGCTAAGTCTGGTTTTCACACGATGGCCACCTGATTTTAGACTTCAACCAGAAAGCTCTTTTGCTTTAAGAGCATACACTTCCAGTATATTTCTGAACACTACTACCTCAAAAATAAAAACCAGTTACAATTTAAGTTTGTCTTGTTTATCCCATAACATGAATACAAAGCAAATACAAGGATAAAAGAATTACTGGGTACATAAACTTCTGTCCTCTCTTGGGGGCATTTTACTTGAAAATAGCTACGTTAAAGTACTAACGTCAAAGTTCCTGTGCTCATAGCTTTTCTTGGAACAACGTGAAGACTTTGAATTCCTTCAATCTGAAGTTACAAAGCAACTACTAGGATAAGTAGAAGTTGCATAATCAACCTGAAAAACATTTAAAGTTACATATTTCAGAATGTTTTAAAAGCACATAAAGCCTACTTTAAGTTTTAGAACAGCTTTCCCAACTTCTTTGTCACCCATTTCCAAGCTGAAATGTTCCTCTGCTCCCAACTGAAAAAACGGGTACGTAGTTCAATTCTTTACTAAAATTCTGTACACTTTGGAAGAAAACATTAATTTCAAATTTGTGTCTTAATGGAGCACTAAAATAACATTCTTCCATTCAGACTATCTTTTTTTTTTTTTAAAAATAGATAATTGCTTTTCCATGTATTTTCAAAATACCAGCACTTAGCAGTTAGGCTAAGTTAGGTTTCAAACATTTTCTAGTTTTTCCATACAAGATAACGTGTATCTGAAAGATAGTCCCTTAATCATCTACAAAAATTTGATTTCTTGGCTTAAAAGAAAATCTGTGTACAGTTAGTGAACAAAGGGGAAATATAAAGTAGATCAACCAGCTTTCTGGGTAGGCAGCAATACTCCCTACATTACTGCTAAAATTATGCTCTTGCAGCTAGTATAAAAGTTACTTTATTGTCTTTTCTAGTTTGCAACTGACACACATGCACATAAATTATGCTACCACTTCTAGTGGAAGAAGTGTAATTAAAAGTAGTGATTAGCTAACTGGCCCCTAGATATGCAACAACAACAAAAACCCACTCCATAGCAAAAGGACTTCAGACAAATTCAAGTCTCTGGCCGATTTTGAGATGTTTATTAGTACTTATTGGAGTGAAAATGAAGTCTAAACAACACAGCAAAAAAATCCATAAACATTTACTCAGATCTTCAAGCATGCTCTAATGCATATATTACCATGGCCACTAGGCTGGTAACAGGATAACATTTGAACTGACTCAAACCAATGCCAGGTTACAGTTTGGCAAAAGGAACTTTTATTTCAGATTCAACTCTGAGTGTCAGCCTCACTTCATGAACATACATTGCAATATGAAAAGCAGATTTAGTCTGCCTCTAAAAACAGACAGGCACACTTTTCCACTTCTGCTTCTCCCTCATCACTCACAAGCAGTAAACTCTGGTGATTCCCTGCCTCCTCCACAGGATTGAAGCCCTTTTAACATCTACAGCTTCAATTACAAAATAAGTTTATTTAAAAGAAATGTTTCCATTTCTAAACTGCCTATATTAAAGATATCTACATTTCCTCTCCTTGAAAATGCTCATATAATCTTTACAATTTTAGATTAAATTTGAACTTGAAGTATGTTGCAAAGCTTAATGGAAAGATCTTGAACCTAATTTCTATAAATCTAACATCAGTAGAGATGATAAATTTCAAAATGAAGCAAAGCATCCTTAAATCATAAATTTATTAAAAAGCATGCTATAAGTTTGTCCCTCTTAGAAAAGTATATATTTAAAGTTCTGTTCAGTTCTGGTAAACCGAAGCTAAAAACTAAAGAAGGGACCCAGTAACAAAAAGCAGCAACATAACTCACAGCCTGGAACAATGACCATATTAGGAAATTTGAAAGAACTGGGATTGGCTCTAAAATAAGAAAGGAAACTAAAGGATATAATGGCAGGAATATGTACAATTATGATCAGCACAGAGCTATTTTTCCTAACACCTCCCTTCCTCTCATACCACAAAAAAAAGAAAGTAGCACTAGTCAATGAGATTGGAAGAAGAAATTCAAAGTTAAATATATAATGTGTAATTAGCTGGCAAACTGCAAGTGACCATTGTACTAAAGACTGCAAAAAAAGATTATATGCTCATGTAGGAGTTAACACCACCACCAACAGCTTCACTGTGAAGGATTAAAGTATACATGGAATATAATTAACCTTTCAAAGTTCACACCAGATCAACTGATATGGTCTAGGAAAAACACTTCTATGGGCTAGATGTTCCTTAATAACCCACTGTATGACTTTTTTGTGCAGTTGTTTTTTGTTATCTTAATTAATCTGCTATGTCTATTGCTGATTGCTTTTACACACAGCATGTCAGATTAAACGGACCATTTCCATTCCTGGCCTTCAATCACAATTCTCCAAAATGTGCACTTTTACCTTATTCTTAACCACAACTGGCACTGGGATTCTTTCAGTAAGTACATTTTATTTATCTTTTGTGCAGGTATAAAAACAAAATTTAATTTTTAGCTCTGGTAAATGAAAAAAAATTAACTTTCAGAACATTCCATTCCTTCTGCAATTAAATGATGAAACCAGAACTAAAATCTAACTTTCAGATCATGTTTCATTGCAGCAGTACTTCACTACTTTAAGAACGGGATTTCAAAAACTTAGTGATCATTTCCATGCTGAAATCCCTGAACAATTTGAAAACTTGGATAGCCTTTGCCACCCTACCATCAGTATATTAAAATCTCGAACTCTTTACAGACACTGCACGATTTGCCTTTATCTCCTGTTTATGTATTTGAAAGAATAAGAAACATATTTGGTACAAAACAGTAGTACTATCAAGAGTTCCAATATTTCAATCAAACTACATTTTCCTAGTGAAATAAGAAGCTCTGCAAACAAATTTTAAACTATGTGATTTCAACAACAAATGTCAGAAATGTACTTAAACATTTGTGCCAAGTTATGAAGCTCTTAAAAATGGAGATTTGCATTCCTTTTTTCATTTTCTGTGACATCTGAATTTATTTTTAGGCTTTTAAGGGAAGCCTTATTTAAAATAAATTACAAAGGATCTCCCATGCAGAATCTAGAAGGATCTATAGAGAAGGTACAATGGAAATTGTATACTTGTATACATACTGTTCATCTTCATGCACATTTATCCTGCAGCATAATGTTAAAATAAGTGATAACTGAAGAGATTTGGAAAAAAATTACAAAATCAAAATTATAAAGAATCAAGAGTTTCAATATGTTGTCAATCACTTTCTAACAGTGTCTAGTAATAAAGCAAAAGAAATTTAAAATAGTTCAAGTTTACGGTATTGTAAGTTCTCACACTTAGTAAGTAAAAATACAAAATGTTTTCCATTTAATATACTTTGATTAAACAATTTTACAATATGTAAATAAATACAATATGGGCAGCCTTACTATTTCAATCAAAATGTTACTACTTTAATAAAGAGGTTTCATGTTTACACAATCTACAATTGCTAAAAAGGATGATGCCCAGTTAGATCACAAATAGAAAACCTAAACAAAAAAGTAAACAAAAAAAAGGAGAATCAAATCTTACCCATTCTTGAAATATAGAACATGTGCTCTTTGAAGTCCTGTTTCCAGGAAAAAACCAAGCTCTTGTTCATGTGCGGTGGGCCCTGGCTTGGGGCTTCTGTTTTGTATATTGGCATTAATTACCTAAGAGAACAAAAGAAAAAGGGAAAAAAAGTAATTAGAAAAAAAAATTAAAATCATGTTTTGTGGACTTTTACACAGAAGCTAATACTTAATGTTGGAGAAATCTTTTTCATTTGTAGGCAGTGGCTAGTAGAATATTTCTATCCTTACCTCCATTCCCAGCTAAACATAAATCTTTTTGCTCTTCGCTTTACCCTTAAACATAATTACTTCAGCAAGCAGAAATGCTGCTACGAATAATTTTATAATACTTTTTCAGAAATTTTTGTGAAGAATGATATACAAAAGAAGTATACGAAAAAGTATATTTGCAACCTTAGTCAATAGCAGGAAGTGATGGTATTCAAAATCTAAAACCCTGTTAAATTAGGAAAGGCTGCTGCAGAAAGCAGCAAGAAGATTCAAAGTGATCTCCACAGTTATTTCCAAAAAACAATTTAGAAATAACTTAATTTATATTACATCAATATTTAAAATGCTCTCTCAAAACAGAAAGCCACCAGCTTTCATTTGCCTCTATATTCACCACACATAGTCTACCAGCCACTAAAAGACAAACAAAACAAACAAAAAACCCAAAGCAACAAACATTCAGAAAATATAAATGTGTATCTATTTTAAAAAAAACAGTGTGAATTAATTTTCTTTCCCCCTCATATCACAGTTTTCTTTCCCTTTCCTTTTGCTTGTGTGACCCTAATCTTATCTAACAAGCTCTTGAAAGACAACTGTCAAATAACAGGTCTGAGGCTTGTAAGGAACAGGTCTGAAAAAGAGGGTCAGATTGATATTGCTAACTTGCTTCATTCTAATAGTATTCATAAACCAAAGAATAGAGCCCCAAGTGTATTGCATTTTGTCCAGATAAATCTCAAAGTCTGAATAAAATGCAGTAGTGTGTAACTTCTAGAAACAACGGGTATCACAAATTTTCTTCTCTTGAAAAAAAAAAGTATTTATAACACTTGAAGGGCTTCTGCTAAGTGGCAAGAAACAGAAGACAAGGTTAATGGTGTCAATGAAAACAAGAGGAGGAAATAAAAAAGCCTATGTGTCCCTTTAAATTCAGATAAAGCCTGAAGCTTTTAAATCATGAAGCATTACGCTCTTTACAAATAAAGAGCCTAACTTCAACTTTCTGTAATTCATAATCCCTAACTTATAAAACGGG